TCTAATTCAGTTTAGAAGTTCACAATTACTAGATTATACTGCTTTGAAAAGAAATCTAAGTTTGAGCTGTCAGTAAACCATGCTAGTATATACAGAATTAGCCATTTTAAATACATGAGTATGGAAGACTTTTTTGGGAAATTTGTATCATAATCCAAAAACCATTCTAGTGCAGCATTCTTGATAGTTAAAAGCTAACTTCATAGCTAGACGGATTAATCTCATACCTCTCACTTGCTCTTCGCGATCTAGCCTTTACGTTCCAGCTCTACTGGTACCTGTTCAGCAAGTACCTGGAGGCCTTTGGCTGAGCGACTGCGCTCTTAATTTCAGATTTAGCTTTCAAGGTCTGTGCAAGATGGGAGGAAGCCAAGTTTCCTTATGCAGGCCCTGATTAGTACAACTAGATGAGACTGCAGTCCTCTGTTGCTGTCAGGCTGCCTTTATTAAAAAAAATCCTCCTTCCCAGCAATTAAATATCTACTCTACAAAAAGAATTATGTTGTCTCTTAAAATTGCACCACTTAGTAAGTATTTAGGCTGTCTTAGTTGCTGAAAATGTGCTTTTGAACAGGTCTTCTAACACTGCAACCTGTATTGGCTGCAACTTTGTTGTCTTTTTTTTGGAGGTGGCACAAGGAGACAAAAGGATGGCTTCAGTAGTATTTACAAAAGTGTGGTCATTATATCCAGAAATTGAGTCAGAAAAGCTAAACATACTTCAGGTCTTCATATGCAGTTCTGTGCTACTGGTAACTGTGCTGATTAGAAGTAGTTTCAGTTTTTAATAGAAGCCATTTTACAAAAAATTATCGCAATGTGGGCAGTGGGGAGGGTCACGTCACAGTCACAACAGCAGCCCTCCAGAACAGGAACCTGAAAGCAGAGGCGAGACAGCATCCTATCAGAAACCTCATCTCCTGTATCCTCAAGCCAGGGATGGATGTATAGTAAGGCGATGGCTTCCTATCCTGTATCCATAGGCTGACATTTTAATTGTCTCAATTACGATCTACACTGAAAACTGATGTTAAGATCACCAAGAACAGAGAATTGCATGGAAGTGGATACTTAAAATCCGTGTTAGTGTGTGTCTCTTCAAACAAATACAATCTCAGTGCATTGCGTTCTAAGGACAGCATTACTTGTCCTGCGCAGAGGGAGTGCAAGCATTGTCTTCTAGTGAATAACATCATCAAACTATCTAGCAGCAGATAATGGCAACTACAAGAGTTTGTGGCAGACTCCAGTGCTTATGACTTACCCACTAAGCTACTAGAGCACTTCCGCGATTGCTTAGGGAATGAGTGAAGAATACTGTAAATAAAAGGATTTGACTGTGTTCCTCACTGAGTAACTTCTCTGTATTTGCAGACTGTCACAAGTGGATATTGATGGCCACCTTGCTAGATGCTTGTCTGAAAGTGCAGATGATGTGATGTGGTAAATCCAGAAGAACGAAAAGCAAAGGAACAAGGCAAGGATGAACCTTTCTCAAAGGGAAAAGAAAAATGCGTCAAGCAAGCATATCCTTGTCTCAGACTTGCTTAAGGATCACAGACCAATAACTCAACAGATGGTCAAGGGCCACCTGCCTGCTTGGGGTCTTTTTATTTTAAATCCTCTCAAATGCCTGTAAAATAGTTCCAGTGCTGAAAATGACACTATAGGATGTCCCAGAGACCCCCAGGAAATCAGGTTTGGCACTTCCGGAATCTGGGTACTTCTGAAAAAACATACAGTTGTAAATCCCTAAAGAACTTGTTTTGTCTGATGCACCATAGTTGTTCTGAACCTCAGAGTATAGAAGAAAGCAGCTGAAATATAACTTATTATTTAATCTAGTCCAAAAGTTTACTGACTTTTTTCTAAGCAAGTAATCTGTGAAAATAAGCTTAATTAAAAAGTCACTCCAGCTTAGCATTTTTCATTATTTTAATATCTAAGTAAGAACTTGCATGATTGTACAGTTGATTCTGTCAGTGTATCGATGTTAAAAGAAAACACAACCCAGACCAAAGAAAAGGCATGGGTTTGGTTTTTTTTTTTATCTTTCTGAAGGAACATAGCTAAATTCATAAGCTTCCTTTGTAGGTTGCCAAGTCAGTATCCACTTGATGAACATGACTAGTCTCAACTAACTAGGCTCCAGAAAGAACATCTCTCCTGCTGGTTTCACAAGATTGAACATAGTCAGCCACATTTGTATCAGTTCCAACCCTCCCCCTTAGAAACCATCAATGTTTGAGAATAAAGAGCACCCGAGAGTTTGAGAAGGTATTCAGAAGATTCATGTACTATTTTGGTAACTTAATAGTAGCAAGTAAACATTTTGTAAGCTTAAGAAAAGCCACCTTTTCCATCAGTGACAATAAATGACATCCAGTGCTAGTCTGGTACCACAGACAGAAAGGATGAAATAAAGGGGGGCTGGTTGCTCATTTCCCCCAGCACAGGGGATGCTGTGCTGTCCGTGGTGCACGCCGTGGCTCCAGTCACAGCCTCACCGGGCGCACAGGTTCCCGTCACAGGGCTGTAGCCAGAGAGTACACCCGTGCCTGTTCCAGCTATTTCCATCCCAGCCACCTTCACAGACAGCGAGGGAGAGCACAGTGCAGATGAACAAACTTCAGCAGCAGAATGGTTTTCTAGCTCAGCAAACCTCCACCCCGGACCTCTACAATGAACAGCTCCAATGCAATCCAGAAATACAGCGTAAACACAGAGTACAGCATCAAAACACAGGGAGGATCCTACAGATTTAATTTACAATGGGGTCTCTTTAAAAAGTGCAAATTGGACATAGCTCAGTTTACTGATAAATAATAACAGTCTGTTAACTTTTTCATTAAAGTCTTTAATAGATGTGCAAGAATATAAATGATCTTAGCTGTTATGGATTAGTGTACCATCTTCTGCACAATTAAAACTGGTCAGCAAAGATCCCAACTAATTAATTATACAAAACTACAAGAACATATTTACTGGTTTACAATCATTAAATTAGCTAGAATTTTCATTTACTATTTCAAATAAGACAACTATATATCATTACCAGATCCATTTGTAATATATTAGGATTTTTTTTTCCAAACCACACATTTAATTACATCCTTCATTTTCTTTTATTTATAAAAGAAGTACTTTATATAAAAAATTTCCCCTTCATGAACAGAACATTATTCAAGCACTTGCACATGAGCAACCAAACTTGTATCCAGCAAACTATTTGGCAACACAGCAACATTGTAAATGCCTGTAAATTTTTAAATAAAAACCAAGTAGTCTTTACAATGTTTAGCAAATGTGTCTTTCTGTTCTTCCTTCCCTCCCTCCCAAAGTGTTCTGAAACCTAGAAAAGAGGTTAAAAAAAACCAACCCCCAACCCACATTTCTCATATTTCCATTTTAACGTCCTATGCCCTGGCATATCAAAGGACAGCTTATTCTGTCATATTTCCATTCATGAGCTGCCTGCAGTCACTCTGATAACTATTGATTAGTTTTATTACCAGGGGAGTTCAAAACAGAAAGAAAAATTATTCAGGGTAAATTAAGTAACTGCCAGGGAGAAGGGAAAAAAGGAGTAACTAAAAATGTCAGATTACATTTAAAAGGTAAATGCTTCCTTTAATAGATAATAAAGTATCTAAAGTCCAGGCATTTGAGACAAATACTTCTTACTGGTTAGATCGTTTAGTGCTGATGAAAACACATTTTGCTTCATACGAAAAGCTACAGTCCAACAGAGAGAAACCCACAACTTAAATCCGACTGGGATTAATATAACTAAATAACTACAGGTCTGCATAATTGTGGCTAATGAGGGGATACCAAGTGTAGATTGTTAATCAATGATTAATTGGAAATTTCAAGCACTGTTTTGGCAGTCTCGTCCTAGCACCTCATGACTTGGATGTGAATCCGAAAGATGTCATGTTCAGCACCTAATGCAATGCTGTACCCTGAGAAAACCATATGTTAATGGAAAGAAAGTGAAAGCGTTGCAATTTATCCTGCATTTCACACCAAATTAGGTGAGATGTCATGGCACAGGGTTTCTCATTTTTTTCCTTCCCACACGTCCTCACAGGCATCTGAAGTTTCCACCAGCGATGCGCACTCACTAATCCCAGACACAGCAACACGAGCTCTTCCAGGCTGAGAAACCGTGAACCCTTTTGATGTAATACACCCTGTCCCTGCCCCCCAACATCCCCCCAGGCTCCAGGAGAAGGGATTTGATAGTTCTCTTTTGTTTTATCCAATTTCTTAGGTATTCGTTTTTCTTCCATTAAAAAAAGCACTACTTTGATGCAAATCATTTTACCAAAACATCCCATTCTCTTCTGTAGAATAATTAGTTATTAATATACATTGAGTAATTGTAAGCAGACAGTTTAACATAAGTAGGAGGTGTGCTTTATCAGGAAAGTATTTTTTATTACGGTTATTCTAGATTTACTATTTAAACTTTAAGGCTATGCTTTACTATGCTTTTGCTCTATCTCTGAATATTTGTATTGTTGATAAAAATACTTTTCAATAATCTAATATACAACACAACATCATTGTAGGTGTAGGCACTGCTTAAGTATTTTCAGAAATCCTTTGTGTGCAAATTTAGCTTTCTTCAATCTATACATTTTGGTAAATTTGGAGTTTAAAACAACAGATTTTGAAATTGATACTGTAAATTTTAACGTGGAATTCATGTTTTGAGTCACTCTGCATTTCAAATTCTATAAAGATGCAAATGAACATTAGGCTGCAGCTGTGAACTGTATGTCTCATGTAAATGGTTACTTTACATTAACAAGCAGAACTTACCAGGTTTAAGAACGTTCCAAATATGTATTAATTCTTCAATGTAGTTTATCCATTTAGGCACTTAAATCTTGTACCCAAATTTATGTTTGGATTGCTAATAAAACACAACTCCTTTTAAATATATCTGAGACGTTTAGACAAGTACGACTTGTGAAAAAAGGCATCAAAAATAAGCTTCAACACCACCGTAATATATTTTATTCTTCAGGATGTTACACTGTAATATTCTTCAATTGGCAGCTCATTGCATCAAATGTTTGTAGAAAGCGGGTAGATCTCAAAGTTGTTCAGAATCTCCTTCTCCAGGGATGCAATGAACATCTTGATCCTTCATGAAACAGGCACCAAATGCCAATTCCTTCATTAATGAAGCCAGTTGTGTCAGTGCCCGAACTTCAGAGTCACTAAGTGGCAGAAGACACCCACCAAAAGCATTACTTCTCCTCTTTGATTTTCAGCAGCAACTTTTTTTTTTTTTTAAAAAAATCATTGGTCTCCATCCAAAATCTTACAGTTCCCCAGCCTCGCATGCATATACTGTAGTTAAGGATAAATTTAAAGGTCATTCACACTGTCCCCAACGAGGATGTCATTCCTTCATACTGTTTCTTCTGTTGACAGCAACAATGGATTAATATATTCAAATCCTTCAAATTCTGACTGATCTATTCGCTTTATTATATCTCTGAAAAACAAAAAGCATTGTTTTGTTTTATCCATTGCAAATACTGGTTTTGTTGCTGTACTTTATCCTCAAATAACAAAATACCTTAATGTATGTATATGAAGTTCTACAGAAGCAACAATAAACGGGAAAAAAAAGTCTCTGAACATACAAATACTTAACACTAATGTTTCATCCCATATCTAACGCAGCATGACTGGAGATTTTGAAATGTGTGATAAAAAGCTTCTTCTACCCTTCCACTTTGGCAACATGCACACTTCTAGGGCCCAGAAAGAAGCATATAATAAACAACTGTTGTTTTATAATACCAATTTACAGATAAGAAACAGGTATTTTGCTGTCAGCAAGGGCTGCTAACATTGTATGTAAGATAAATACTACAGTAGACTATATTCTAATGCTAAGTACATAGTTTCTTCTCAGTAATTTTCAAGTAATTTACAAATTTCTTAATATGCAATTGTCTTTGGGGAAAAATAAAAACATACTCATCATCTGGGGTTAGCTGCACAGGTTCGCTGGTGAACTGTGTATCAAAGTTATCCAAACCATAATCATCTGTGATCTGAGGCTGAAACGGAGGGGTGGTTTGCTTCTTTTCCAGCTAAGAAAAAAAAAATAATGGAGGAGAAAAATTAAAATACTGAATATTTACAAAATCCCTTAAGAACATAAACATATATTGTACATGCACTGAAAAGTCATTACAGTTGAGTGTAATACTGGTGGAAGATATAAGTACAATCTGACATTAAATTTTAGACACTAAATGGCGTATGCTCATCCTGTTTATCCTATTGCTGTACTTTAAACACTAGAACTTAAGAAAATTATCAGAAATTAATAAAATTAAGTTTAAAACTATAGAAGAAGCTGTTTCCCAAGTCTCTTGCCTACACATTAAGAAAAAACACTGTTGCTATACATCTGGCTCAACAGTTTTTAAACTGAGAACTCACTCCAGAAGCTTTCCATCCCAGCCAAGATGCTTTCCCAGAATACAACTCGTTTTTCCCTTTTATAAGCTCCTCAAGTTGCTTTTTGTAAAGGCAGCCTCTTAGATGACACCAAATCAACATAACCAGACTTGTTTATGTTCATTCCAGCACAGAACAGAAAAGAAAGCAATTATTTGCATCCCGATCAGTCGCTGGCCACATGGGTAAGCCATCATTAAAAGCAAGTAGTACTAATCAACAAAACAGATAAAGCAGCCCAGAATTTTATTCTGCAATTAAAATTTAACCATGAATACATTTACATACAATATTTCCTGTTACAGGAACTGGAAACCCATATTTATCTTCATCACCAGAGACAGTCAATAAAACACTGGACTTTTTTACTCAAATAATGACGTTGTAGTCATTAACAACCTTTCCTCATTTGCTACACCAGTAGCATGTTCAACAGTATCGCCTGTTTTCCAATTAAGGCAAGTCCCTACTGTCCTCCAGAGTTATTAGCTCCCTTCTCACAGGTATATTGGTATATCAAACCCAGCCAATAATCCTGTTTCGTGATTTTGCACGACTAGCTAAGTTCTCACCACCCAAATCACTTTTTACCCCAAACAACAAGTAATACTACTGTTTTCTACGTTACGTCTATCATATTACTCAGTCTCCCAGTGAAATATCACAGAATATGAAATATCTCAAACTACAGTAAATCAATAGAGCTTTTGTAGAACTGACTACGAATTAAATGGATTTATACTTCTCACATTTTCCTGAAGTTATTAATTATACACCACTCACTTTTGTGAACAGAATCCTCTTCATCATGACTTGCAATTTCACACTGCACTCTAATACAAATACTGTCTAACAAACCAAAGCAAGCTCTCTTCTGCTTCGTAAAGAGCAAGAGGGGAGGAAAAAAACCCACTCCAGTGCAACTTTAACTGATGCTTAAACTCACTGGTTGCAGTCAGCATTGGCTGCCTCTCCCACCCACAGCCTGGGGAACATCCAAACCAGCTCTCTTACACCCTACGGAGCCTACGCAACAGCCAAGTGATAGCTACTGCTCAGGTCCTTCACACAAGCAAACGAGCTACTTCAAAGCACTATATTCTGGAAAATCAGTAATAGGTAAACACTCCTGCTCAACTTCAAACTCAAATAATAAAAACCGTGTGAACTGAACCGCATTGATAACACGCAACCAGAACAGCTCCTTCTTCAAACACTTCTTAGTCTAACTAGAAAGTCACAGCATTTCAAAGACATCACATTGCTTAACACATATGGCTTCAGTTAAGTTTCTTCTACAAACATCTGGGTGTTTTATGGAAAGACGACTGACCAAATATTTATGTCCGTAGTTGTCAGTATGCTCACGTAATGCCTTAGACTAAAAATATGTAATTCAGGGATGGGATACAACCAAGGTAACGAGGAACGCATTAACGCTAGAGAAGAATTATGTATGAAAGAGCTTAACGTTTTAGAATGTGTAAACTGTACATTTATGCACTTCTAATGCCTAATTAATTAGAAATAGGAAGAAAAGCAAAACGTCTGTGTGCTGCAGTAAGCAATGACAGAAAAACAGCAGAACTAAAAACATTTAACAGTATCTTTCATTCTAAATACAAAATCCTCACATCTACATATTAACGAGTGGTATGGTGAAACCCATTACAGGCAAACTGGACGCAAAGAAATCTTATTAGCTCAAGAAGTAAAGAGTCATCCGATTCACTAAGAATTAAATAAGAAAATGTCATACACTGAAGTCTAAAATTAGCTCACAAATTGACATTAAATTCTCATAGGATCATAGAATAACTCAAGTTGGAAGGGGCCCATAAGGATTGAGTCCAAAATTACAAGCAGCTGATTAAGTTTTCCTGAATACTCTAGATTTACTTCATATTGCATGGCCATGTGGTCTGGAAAAACCTATTTCTTTAAAGAAGCTCCTGTACTGACTTTGGAGACTCACCTGGAATGGCCTGAAATTAGTACTTTAGAAATAAGCAACTCTGAGCTCTGGCTTTAGCTTTCCCCAACCCCACAACACTGATCCCAGCATTCCAGAGTTCCCTCACATCCAACATTCTCCATCTCATCCGCCTCCTCTCCCATGATCACGGGCCCATCTCCCTGCTTATTTTTTTCTTCAGGCTACTCAAGAAATACAGGCTGCTGACCACCAGCCAATACAAGTGTCCTGATTAGTTCCCCACTAGGGAACTAAACTGGTCTCACCTACCAGGACGCTCATTTTCACGTAACACAATGTGGTATCTTTGAACTCTACCTGCCTTCAAAATAGCAAAAAAACTGATGAAATGGCTCAAAACTTCTTAGGGTTGTTAGCTGGCAAACGAACAGTACAATGTAGAAGTCCCTCCTTCTTCACAAATACATTAAAAAAACTACTGCCATAACATAAGCATTTGAAGGGAGTTATGATAAACCTTTCAAAAGGAGGCTCCATCTGATTTAACAGAATCGAGACTAATTTCAACCTACACAGTCACAGAGGCTTGATCACTTTCCCTTCCCCAATCTAGTGTCTTTGTTTTATAGCTCAACATGGAATGCTCAGAAGGTAACACTGGAAGCTTACTTCCCAAACCATATACAACTAAGCCATATATTCCAAACAATAAAACACAGGAAGATAAATCAGACACTTCCAACTTGCCATTCAAAAGGCCTATTAAGAGAATTTTAAATGGCTAAATCCTACAAACCACCTGGCTTACATATCTACTTTCATATTAGTGAGCTCCAACATAAACACCAAATCTTAGCAATTTGGAGGATCACACACAATTGCAACACGTTGGCCTTGTGAGTACTGCAAGAAACATTGAGATTACTCAGAAAATTCACCTTTGTCTCCAAAATGTCAATGCTTGTCAGTTATCTTCTAAATATTTGACTGAATCTCCTTTTTTTTGTATTCAAAAGTTATGCCATTGAGTCTCACAGCGCAAAATTATTTTAGGACCAGACTGTGGCACTTTTTAGCCACACATTACACTGAGAAAACAGTTTCATCAGAAAGCCAACTTCAAAAGGGTAACCAGTACACCAGTTACAGAGCAAGGCACAGCAAACAATTAAACTGGCAATTAAATATACCGTCTCAATGAAGATGCTACCATATACTGCCTCATAAAATGTGCTTTTTTAATCAATTATAGTTCTGCTTTTTTACAATTATTTATAGACGCTAGTAAATTTTGTGTATTTTGTAAAAAGAATGCAATTCTTGCAGCAACACTTCCAAGAGCTGTTATCGAACATTAAAGTGAAAATTTTAATTTGGCCCCAGATAGCCAATTTAGCAATTGTTATAATGATAACTATGTTATATGTAATAAATAACCGTGTATTTTCACAAATCTTCTATTTATGACTAAAACATCAATTCTGCAAAACATTTGCTTAATTGGTATGCTGCATTCGTACAAAGCTCCTTTAATTTAAGGAGGCTCTGGAAATGTACAGCAATCTAGAACCCATAAATGGATTCAAGTCATTAATTTGCTTATAGAAGAAAATGATAGAAAAGTTTGAGACAATTATGCAAAAAAGTTTGCACAAATCTTGCTTTTCAGTGTTGGCACATATATCTCTCAACATCCTTTCTGAATAATGCTTACAACACGTTTGTCAGCATTGCTATTTTCAGAGGGGAGCTTTCAAGCTACATTCTTTGCTTCCATAGCTGTTTGAAAGGGTCTTACAAAGCACTGGGATTTTCTGTGTATGATACAGTTAGGAATCCGTTTTTCCCATTTTACATTAGTGAATTAAACACTAATTAGAAGAACAAAAGGAAAACATAAGGTAAATAAATCCAGCCAGCACGCTTGTCACTGTTCTGTGTCTTTTTTGTTCAGTGGGCCACCTAAGCAGAAATGACAGGACCTCAGCCAGCATCAGCATCCCGCTGTCAGGGGCTCTGCACAGCCCAACCCCACAGAGCTGTCCCAGAGCAGAGGTATGAGACTTCTTGTGCGGATCCCCGTGCAATAGAGGGGGGGTGTGCTGGGGCAGGACTGAAGGGGACGCAGCGAACGGAAGGGAGGGTAGCTGTAAACTCAGGGTAACAGAATCAGAGACATCTGTGAAGGCACTGCATAACTTGTGACAGGTGACGGTTCTGTTCCTGCTGGAGGGAATCCTGTGGTCAGGTCATAAAGGGACAAAGATACCACAGCAACAGTTCATTTTTCTCCCCTCAAAAAACAAGCCCCCAGAACAACAGCGGCTTGAAGATATGAACACAGAATCTCAACCAGAATATCCGGGTAGCAGAATTTACACTGTAATATTAATGATACTCAAAGCTTCCAGATAGGCCATAGAGCACTTCACAAATAAATTGCCTCCGCAAAAACAAGAGCCTAGGCTTCACTGATAACAAGTCAGACTACGTAATTACTAAGCTTAATAACTTGAACTTGAGGATCCTTATTGAAATTCCTTTAAAATTCTGTATAAAACTTAAATTCAACCTAGTGCAAAACTGTGGTTTTATGTATGGGCAGAAAAGATGTTTGGAGGGAGCCTGAGTATAAGATTTCAAATTATGTTCACGTAACATTCACCACTAAAAATTTTCCTTTTAGTAATG